TATAATTAATTTAAATCGACGTTATTTTACTTTATTCTTTTAATAGAGTGGTCATCTACTCCTTGCACAGGAGGAATTGCATTGAGGTGATTGCCATTTGTCGACAGTCATTGTTTTCTTCTCAAATATGAATCGTTGCACATATAGCTTACCTCTTGACAAATTTATTTATATACAGTTCTTTGGTTACTTATCTTTTGGTTCTTTTCCTTTTTCTTATTAGGAAATCAAAAGAAATCTGCAAGGAGAGTATGTTACACAGAAAGCAGGAAAAAATATAGATATTTCATCCTTAGAGTTGAAGGTAATTTTTTTGAATAGGTTGATTATACATATTATCAGGTGATAATAAATTCTTATCTCTTAGTATTCAGACATTCTATTTTTTGTTATACAACTATTCTGTTTTTAAGGTTATTTTACCTCTGTTTGGCAGGCTATAGAACTGGAACAGGTTAAACCAATTCCAGTTGATTTTTTCATAGCTCAAAATACTCGAGTTTTGGTTATCACTGGCCCTAATACGGGGGGTAAAACCATTTGCCTAAAGACCGTAGGATTGACAGCTATGATGGCAAAATCAGGTTTATCTGATATCTCTCAATTCTTTCAATCATCCTTTAAGCTCGTGGAGTTTTACCAGTAGTCTTACAAGCATACATATGTTTCTGATGTAATTTAATTATTCTATTTTATTGGTATCCTTATTTGGATATGAAGCACTCATGTAATGTAATTCTCATAATTTTTCTTATCAATATGAGGTTCTTAGCACATACACTTCCTCTCAGCTTGCTCTACAAGAGGGTAGAGAATATTCAGGGACTGAAGAATTAATCACAAATGTAATTCATCAAGTTGCGTGGCTTGTGACCCCCTTTTTCTAAATATCGCAGGCCTTCATGTTTTGTGTTCTGAATCAGTACAAATCCCTTGGTTTGATTCAGTTTTTGCTGACATTGGCGATGAACAATCCCTGACCCAATCGCTTTCCACCTTTTCCGGCCACTTAAAACATATAAGTGTAAGAAAAAGAGTTATTTTGGAAAGTGTTTGTTTCTACTTTGGTTTTAATAAAGTTTGTATAAACATGACCAAGTACAAATATAGAACAGTTAAAAACTTGATTGACTACAAGAATTTGGTGAAAATCTTTAACGTGTACTTTTATGATATGAAACATTCAACCAGTATCTTTACTGCATATTGCAGGACATCCAGTCACAGTCAACAAGTCATTCACTCGTGCTACTGGATGAGGTGTGGTCAAATTGCCTTTTCTGGAATATGATATGTAACAAATTGTTACTAGAAAATATAAGGAAATGCAAATGAATACAGGTATCAACTCCTTTTGTTTTTGGTAGGTTGGTGCAGGAACAAATCCCCACGAAGGAGCAGCACTGGGGATGTCTCTATTGGAATCTTTTGCTGAAACTGGTGCTTTGTTGACAATTGCTACAACACATCATGGGGAACTCAAAACCCTGAAATACAGGTATTTGGCATACAAGTTAAAGATGCAACTAATGAATTACTACAGTTCAATTGTTTAATTCATCGAGTCTGGAAAAATAAGTGGTGGCTGTCAGACATTTAGTCAAAGTTGTTCTGCATGTGGTTTATTGAAGCCAAGTTTGCCCCATCTTCCTATTTGAAATCTATATGAGCCCATAGAATATCTACCCTGCCATTAAGTCTTGTTTTGTGTTGATGAGGTTGTTCCTTTGACAGCAATGACGCCTTTGAAAATGCATGTATGGAGTTTGATGATGTGAAGTTAAAGCCAACTTACAGGATTCTCTGGGGAGTACCAGGTCTTCATTCTGACAAACGACTTTAACTTTTGTTTGCTTTTTTCCTTTTTAAATCTTTTCTCCTGAAGAGAGAGGAAGGGACGATCCATAATTTATGCATCTCCATATGCAATTGAGTAACTGGTCTCTTTTCTGTTAGTACGTATTGTAGTTTACTAGTGTGTAAAAATTTGTTTAAAACACTTTTTCTCAAGCAACTAGTAGTCATTTGGTCTTCCGATCTGTTGTTACATTATATAATTATATTCCTGCATAATGACTAAAGGAGTGATATTTATGCTGCAGGGCGTTCAAATGCAATCAATATAGCTGAAAGGTTAGGACTACCTGGTAAAGTGGTAGATAATGCCCGCGAACTATATGGTGCAGCTAGTGCAGGGATAGATGAGGTAACATGCATAGATTTTATTAGGGAGTTTCACTAAAATACCCAAAATGGGGGCTGAAATTATAAAAATACCCAACACCCAAAACACTTTATAAACATACCCAAAACTCATCATTACACACATTCAAAACCCATTTATAAACATACCCAAAACCCATCATTACACACATACCCAAAACCCATTTTGGGTATGTTTCTATGTTTAAATAGTGCTTGGGTATTTTTATAAATACATGTCTAGGATTGGGTATTTTTATAAATATCCTGTTATATTAATATATATATATATATATATATATATATATATATATGAACATATATTATAGACGTTCTTTGGATGGGTGTACTTAGTCATGCATAAAAATGCATCTGTTTATTCCAATGGCAGGTCATAATTGATATGGAACGGTTAAAGCAGGGCTTTCAAAAGCTTTTATATGAAGGACAGCATCATCTGATGTGAGATTTTTCTGCCCATTTTAGATAATTCTGATGTGAACTTACTCTTAAAATCTTCAACAAAGGAAGAAATTTGTTAAAAACAGAAAATAACATGAAAATGAGGGATGTCATAACTTCAATTTTAGGGCATCCAAGTTGATAAAATAAAATCCATGCAGAGGTTTTGGTAATAATCAATGTTAGCTGTTAACAAAGTCAAGTCATGCTGCATAGATAAATGTATGGCTACAGATGGTGCCTCTATATCTGCTCATGTTTGTCTTGTAGGCTCTCAAGAGAGTCGTATGAGAAACTGTTGGTTGCCAAAAGGAAGATTATGGAACATAGTAATGATCAAAGACTTAGGAAAATGAGAGAAATATCTGAGGCTGCTGCAATGGCTCGTTCTATCCTTCACAAAAAAGTAAGACAGCACCGTGCATCTCTGGTTCAACCTTTGCAGCCTACTTTAACGCATAAACGCCAGCACAAATTGGAAACTAACAGTCAACGCACAACTGATGATAAACATCAAATGGAAAAAAGGAGTGCATCCTTTTTATCATCATCAGGTATTGAAAAACCAATGAAAACTTTTGAGACTCTCAAATCTCTTTGACAATCTGGCTGAGTTTTCAACTAAGAATGTCTTTCACCTCTTATATTTCAGAGAAGTTTGAGCTTCCCAAGGTTGGCAATCTGGTGTTTGTTTCTTCCCTTGGTAAGAAAGCGACAGTTTTAAAAGTGGAGCCTTCTAAAGAAGAAATCGTGGTTCAAGCTGGAAACATGAAGTTGAAATTGAAACTAGACGACATTAAGACGTGACTGTCAAGAATAGTTGCATGTGAATGCCATCCACGATGTCAACAGAAAGGATTTTTGCTTGCACATTAATGAGTAAGCATTCGTATTTTTGTTTAATTCATATCAAGCATGATTTGTTTCCATAGAAACTCTTGTCTCTTTCTCTCTCTCAGGTAGCATTATGTTGAATACCATTACCTGCAGTGCATTCCGTCGAACGAACTTAACAATGAACAAGATTGAGGGCTGAAACACATCTTCGGGTATTGAAATGCAAAGCTTCATGAAAATATTTGGACAGCTCATCACTCTAATCAAGCATGCTAATTAGGCGCACTGTAATAAGTTGAACATGCAAACATCTTGAAGATATGAAGTAACGGTGGGAGATACATCTTTTACTTTATTGTTTCATCGAATGACAGATTATGTAAACAGCATCCTGAGTAATATGAAATATAATTGCTTCTTTTGATTATACATGATTCTATCCTCTTCTGCTGTTATGTTATCATGAGAATATTTATTATCACTAGCACTTGAAGTCTCCATTAGCTGGAGAAGCTACTAGGACTCCTTGTCGCTGGCAGGATGGCTGAAGATGAAATGCTCTTTGAGAAGAAAAAAAGAAAGGAAAAGAAACTAAGCACACGGGCTACATTCGGTGTTTGTTTAATGTACTTTCGCGGGTCAAATCAGAGGTTAAAGACAACCAAGACAGAGGGACAGGGAGATCACAATTCTCTTGGAACTCAATTCGTTGAAACATGGCCCAACTTTTAAATTTCATGATCGAATGGATCATGGATGAGACATGAAACTGAAAGATCTCTTTGTGAGGAAAATAAACTTTCTTGTAAAGGGGATTTTGTGAGGCATCTGTATAACTGTGTTGCATCCAGAGCATGTTGCCCGCCTTTGCTTTATGTTTCTTCCCTTTAGTTTTAGGTAGCGTCTGGATGACGCCACTATACATCATGTTGACTTTGCTTCTTATCAATCTATGAACTAAAAGAATCACAAATCTTTTGTTTTTTTGTTTTTTGTTTTTTGTTTTTTGGCTAATGGGGGTATATGATTCACGAACCTTTCACAACCACCTTGTCAATGTCACATGTTACGTGCTTCACGAGTAACGCTTATCCGAAGTATTAATTTTGTGCTTTAACTTTTGTTTCTTCCATCGAAAAGGAAAGGAAAGGGGAAAGAACAAAAGCCTTTTTGTCTGTGTTGATTTATTAGTAATATCAACCATGAAGCCTGCTCAGAAACTTCCATGTGATTGGTGCATTTTTTTTGAGTGACTACGATATTTCAAGAATAAATAAATCTACCTCAACTCAGCATGATATTGATTCCCATGGGACATGGCCAAACTTTGCTTCCTGCTCTTTGGAAATGTGTAGGAACAAATGCCTTATTTAGACCAAATGATCTCACTGCATCGGCCCAGGATTCCTTACTAGAATAAAAGACTGGTAGGCAGCAACAGATTCATCTGTCTCTGTCTCTGTCTCTAAAGATTATAACAATAACAGACCAGCAGAGCATAGCGTTCCCTAATGGTACTTTTATTTCAACTTATTGTGTTGTTACATCAACTTATTGGGCAATTCAATTCAACTTGTATTGAATCTGAACCGCTCTTTGGTTCAATACTTATAGGCAGTTTTGTTACTATTCTTTTCTCTGCTAATGATGTCGTAATCACGTGCCTTGTTCCTCGTCCTTGTTAAGGCTGTTGTGCTCCTCCTCATCGACAACCCCAACAACCCATCCAAACTGAAAGGTGACATCAAGGAAATAGAGCATGATGACCAAAACAAAGCAGGACACGAACATGGGAATGGGCCCAAAGATCCACAGAAACAGAGGGAAAGAGAAGTAGAAGGCACGGAGGCCCAAGGACCAGAAATAGCTGCCTCTGTTGACAGTGTTGGCAACATACTCTGTTGTGAGATAATGATGCTTGTGATGCGGTGACATCTTTTTGAAGGGGGCGTTGATGAGAATGCTTGCGTGGCTGTAGTATCTTATGGACTGCACATTGAACAGGAAAGCCACCAAGAAACAGACCAATATGGCAAAGAACTTGATGGAAAACGCGAGCTCGCTTCTGTTTCCGAAGACGAAAAACGCCTTTCGATCCTTGCTGCCACTTGTCATCAACACCGCAATGAGAGAACTGAGCATAATGGCCGTCGAGGCCAATAGGGTCGATGCCATTATGTTGTTTCGCAGTGTCTGCACCGCAAGAACACCATTCTTTGGCGCATCCTGCATTTCATGCATGCCCAGAAGCAAATTGGTCAATAAAGATTTAGTCCTTATATCAATCAATCAATCATTCGTGTTGGTTCTTTTAAAACATTTCAAAGATTAATGATAGGTAAATAAGAGGCATCATTTTGAATCATCAAGAGGGATCGATAGATAGATCATTCATACATACAATAAAAATATGAACAGGAAGGAACACACACACACACACACACATATATATATATTAAAAGAAGTGAAGTGATGGTGTGTGTTAGGTTGGGTTGGGTTTTACCTCCATCATAGCGTGGACCCAGAAGCGGCGGTTGATGGAATTGATGCCGATGATGGTATTATTTGGTTGCATTATAATTCGATAGAGAAGCCAAAGGTGGTATGCCACCATAACTAGGAGGCCTGCCGGTACCAAAATGTAATCAAGAACTCTTTCCTGCATTTTTAATAATTAAAAGAAACAGAAAAAAGAAAGCCCTCTTTTAGTTTTCTTCTTCTTCTTCTCCTTCTTCAAGGGAGGTTCAAAGAGCAAGGTAAGAAAAAGAGGGAGAGTCCAAGTGTAATACGGGTGTGGTTTTTGTGTTATGTTGTGTGGAGTGAGTGATTTGGGTGAATAAAAATGAGAAAAATGAGGTGGGTTTTTATAAGGCTATGTATGTATGTATGTATGTATGTATCTTCTTAACAGCAAGCCAGCTAGCTACACATGACATGGAGGAGATGGAGCGCTTAAAATGCGATTCATACGTGGAAATGTAGAATTTAAGACGCAAAGGGTTGAGCCACGCCCACCACCACTAAACTCACCTCAGACAGACTACTCTCTCTTTCTTTCTTTTTTTATTAATTGCCATTTTACCTGTTGGCCTTTGAATTTAATCAGGCTCAGCAAATACAATTCACAAAGCAAACTGCCTTTCTGGCTTTCTGCCGTTTGCCGCCCACCTTCAACAACATCAATGCTTAATGGAAAACAACCTGTGTCTGTTTTCTCATCATTATTAAAGGAACAGGGCACTACTAGTATCTTCCTCCCACATTGCAGAGTGCAGACTTTGGCTGCATAAAGAAAATGGTATGGGGCAAGAACTTTCATGCGAAAATTCACAAAACATACATTCCATGAATATGTGCTATGCTATGCTATCTATTTCATTACCTAGAAAACATTGATCACCACCAACCCACTTCGAGTTTGAGCATGTGAATATACATATGTATATTTGAAGAAAATTACAGAGCCGTAGGGAACTTTGAGTTTGCTCTCATGTCACGCAAATACGCACACAAGCCTAATAAACAAAGCACTTGAGAATCCCAAGCTTCACGAGGCAGGGCCAACTGGCCAAGACGTGATATGATATCTAACATCCAATTAGGCCCTAACTTATGTCATTTATAACTAATGTACACAGTTAAATTAATTGTCATCAAGTGCCAAATCCACATGGCTGATAAAACCATTCTATATTATTCGGCTTCTCCGAGGATCATCTCGCTAAGCTTCACCATGGGAGAGGCGAGGTGACATTATCCTATGTAGTAGGTCCCAATAACATCAATTAATTCTTCGGAATGAAAAGATTATAAAGGTATCAATCATTCACACAAAATAGATTCTAAAGGTTGCTACTTAAAACATTCCACCATATACCATCATTAGTGCTCACATAGTGCCCTTGTAACCTAACAATACTTACTTATAGGCATTTCTTGCACAGAGATAATATAAGCATAAAACTGTTCTTACTTGCTGTATATATAAAATTAAAATAAGTTTTCGCTTGTTGGATAGTTATACAAAATGAATTTTGCTAATTGCTTGATCGTCATCACAACAGAGTATGTGCAATACACGTACTTGTCCCCTCCACTAGTAAATAACACAAACCCGAGGGCACAAACACATATTCCCCAAGAAACTAGATAGATATATAGCCAAATCAAATACTTCCTCTGCCTAGTCCACTACTTGAATTTACATCCACACCTTTCACACCTATTTAGAAGCAAATTTGATGTTCCTGCAAGCTTCCTCTCCTTTCAGCTTTCCCAACTTTTCAGGATACCACACAAGCCACAGATTTGGCTGGATAATAGACACCAAACACCAATGGAGCCAGGGCATGGAGACGGGGAAGGAAGGCTCACCAAATCCCTGCAACATGTTGAACAAGAATGAGTTCAGGTTTTATATAAAAAGGAGTTTATGCCTTACTGAAAATGCTACAGATCAACTCCTTCATTTTAAAGAGTTCCACTCCTTTGCAGACACACAGTAAAACCCCCCCTCTATGAAATATGAATGAACAGATAATTTTATCAACTCAAAATCCCAACAGCCATTACTGACTGCTGATTGTGATCTATAACACCAGAAGCTCGTTATTACTGGGCAATAACAAGGCTCCATTTAACAACCAATATATACTTTTTCCATGATAGCCCATATATTAAAAATAATAATAATAAGATATAGGAACAGGACTTGCCATCTGAATAAGTATGTCACACCAAATGCAGTAGAACTTTAGTGCTCCAGGCCTTTGATCTTGTCAAGATAGTTCTGCATTTTTTGAGTATCTTGAGCTGAAAGATTAGATCCAACCGCAATCTTGTGCTGCTCAAATTTTAGTTCATCACACTTCAAGGCTGCTTTTTTACAAGCTTTGATGCTTCCTGATACAAAGTAAAAGAAAAGGGAAATTAAATGACTTTTCTTTGACAGATGAAAAACTCGGAAGACAATAACGATGTGTCTTTGTTTTGACAGTAACATCAGAGTAGCTTGAGTCTTTTGCAATGATAATGATGATATTCTATAAAGAAATGCACATTACGATGTAAAACAAATGTGACCTCTTAAGATGTCTCAAACAATTTTTGAAATAAGAATTGTGCTTCCTTCTAAGGAAATAGTAATTCGACAATCACCATAAAAGTTAAGCACGATATTTCTCTTTCAGCCAATAATCAAGCACAATGATTAAATAACGAAAACAAAAGAGTCAAAAACTTCCACATTTAAAGATGAAACCTTCTTACATCTAAATCGCCAAAAAAGATGAATAACCTCTGCTTTAATATACTTTTTCTTAAAACTATACATGGCTTGTTGGAGGAAAATAAAGGCGTCATCAGCATACGAGTTACTCTGTTGCAATTCTTTAACTCACCACTTAGGTCCAACAAATTAAATAGCACTGGGCAACCTGCAATACTCCTGACCATGGTAACTGCAGACCATACTTTTTGATATTCCTCCCTTGAAGCTCTAATGATACACAGCCTTGTAATGTCGTTTACATACTTCACTGCACAAAAATTGGCTCAACAAAATTTAGACAGGCCATTCTACTGAAAATTAGTTGCAAACGTCCATATAAACAACGAAGGAAACAATAATTATTTAGAACCATGACTTACCTAGGAATGATCCAAACGATGAAGCCAGACCACACTTCCCAAAATTTTCAAGAATGCTGTCTTTGATAGCGTTTGTAACATTATATGAGGTAATTATAACAGGATCTTTTCTCACCAGCTCTCTATTAGGATCCAAGATAACCTCCAATACCATATACCTATTCTTAAATCCCACCATGATCCTTTACCTGTTTACAGCACAACATTGGATCTATCAAATATTATGAATTCCAGAGGAAAATATTGTATGAGAAGCAACCTAAACTGTGTTTTGAAACTCAAATTCAACAAACAAGGAAATTTAAGGTGAAAAGAGGCACTAGAACCCAATAAGGAATAAGGATTGAGAAATCAACAAAATCCAAAAATTATTATATAAAAAAAATAGGAAGTACTGATTTCGTTCAGAATCCTGAAAACACACAGGTACTAGAAAAACTAATACGGAATGATAAGTCAACAAAATCCAAAACTTACATAAAAAAATAAAGTTCAGATTTTGTCAAGAATCCTGAAAAAACACGGGGCAGACTTTTAAAAGAACAAATCCAAATTTATGATCAAAAGTTATTGAAAATCCTGATAATACATATAGAGCATATAGGCAGGCTATAGCTAAACAAAATTACACACTATACATCATATAGCATCAATCAGATTATTACACAGTAATACATATGAAGCATCTACAACAACAATTAGAGTAAAATATGTTTCTCAATTCGAGCAACCCTAAAAAAATTGACAAGAATTGGATTGAATTATATCAAAGATCCATTACAAAGACGGAAATAAAACACAATCATTGACAGAGCAGATTTTTACAAAGTTCGCGACTTGCAACAAAAAGTAAATAATTTGAAGCAGAAAAAGATATGATCAGACCTAGTAGTTGAGTCTGAGACTGAGAGTTGAGAGCATAGATGAATTACGCGCGTGGATTTGAAAACCCTAACCCTAGCAAACAGGGAGGACTGAAGAGCAAAGAGCAATGGAAGCAAGTCGGGTTGAGAAAGTGGTTCCGGGTCAAACCGAGACTCGAAATGCCAATTTGGGCCTGAGAAGTCATAGGCTCAGCGAAAATGACGGCGACGTGGCAAATGGTGGTACGTTTAAAAAGTCATAGAGAGAGAGAGGAGAGAGAGAGAGAGAGAGAGAGAGAGAGGGAGAGTGTTTGAATCGTTAAGAGAGAGAGACCGTTGGGGGTGGGGACCGGGGCACATGACAGTCCGAGTCACACTCTCTCTCCGACCTCGGGGTTCACATTTTTACTTTTTTAATTTTTAATTATGAAAGAGAAATAGAAAAATAGAAAATTTACTTGGATTATCCACATTTGTAGGTGAACCCTTTAAAAAGTCAAGTCCACTCGGGAATCGGGTCTTTTTTTTAACAGGGAAAAAATGTGGGGGGACGAATTTCACCCGCAATTTACCCGAAATTTCACTCGTATTTCATTTGGCATTTTGGCGCTTTGTGAGTTTGGGTCTGGGTTGGGTTGGGCTTTTGGATTTTTGTATCCAAACACTGTAACTACAATCTCCTCTCTCTCAGTTCAACGTCAACTACCCCCTTACCCTTATCCCACTTTCTCTCTCTCTCTCTCTCCCTCTCTCTCTCACTATCTATCTATAAATACCCACCCCTCCTCTCACGTTTTCTTTGTTAGCTTGCTAGGCATTTTGGAAAACGAGAGAAAGTTTGAGTCTTTGAGAGAGAGAGAGAGAGAGAGGGAGGGTGAGGAGTAGGTGGCGCTGTTGCTGGTTGCGTGAAAACCCAACGCGTGTTGTTGTTTTTAACTTTTTGAAGCACAAGTAAGTCGTTCTCTTCTCCTTCTTGTTCTTTCTTTTCTCCTATTTGTCTTTCTAAATTTAATTTTGTTAGTGTTGTTTCAGATAGTTCTTTGCATGTGTTAGGAATGATCATGTAAATGAAAATATAAACGTTGTTTCTTGATTTTAGAGGAATAAAATTGTATAATTTTATATCCCACATTCATACATGTATCAGATCTAATGAAGAAAGTTATTTGTTGGCTTCATATGGGCCATGATAAGTGTTGCTGTGATCTTGGGGATGCTAACAATGCTCTTTTCTCCAAATAAAAGTATTTTCTTTTGAGCAGCTTGGTTCTAAAAGACAAAAGAAATATAAATAAGATGTCTGTGGGACCATGTTTGTCAGGAAACGTTATTAAGCAGTATTTTTTTAAAATAATTTAAATGTGAGGATTTGATGTGATGTGAAAATATATGCGTGCAATTTGGTTAGAGATCCGGTATATATGTATAAACAGAGAGTGTTCCTGAAGTTGAACAGTCAGGACTTTGTAGAAATTTCATGCAAGCATTTAGTTATTAAACAGATTCCATATGAAGTCTGGGGAACGGATTTCTACGTTGTGTTGGCATCTGTAGAACCTTTAGAGGCAAAGGCCTCCGAGAGTGGAATCTGTTCAATTGACTTTATTAGCTCATCAATTCGCAGTTGCAATGGAGGTGGATGGCAAATCTGTGGTAGCAGGACCTACGAATGTTATTTTTCTGTCGACTATTTTGGGCCGAGATGGGTCAACTTCTGTTCACAAATGTGACTGGAAATGCCAGAACGAGCATGTCTGCGCGAATATGTATTGCTGCAAGCTAACTGGACTCACTCACATCTGTGACAAAAACTGTGACCAGAGGATCCTGTATGATAACCATAGCTCCCTTTGTCGAGCAAGCGGAAAGATTTTCCCCCTTACACCAGCAGAGGAACAGGCCGTGAGAGGGGTCCGGAGGAAGCTTGAGTCAGAGAACTCTTCTGCGGACAGTTGTTCTTCTAAGCGCAGACGGGATGCCCAGTTCCATCCTTCTCCTTTTGAGAGATCCTTCTCTACAGTCAGTCTGATCTGCAGCAAAGTTGGAGATGGCATGGATACGAGCTAGAGTTATAAGATAAATGAAAGACTTTTATTGCTTATCTTTATCTTGTTCCTTTGAAACCTTTCCTTATTTTTCATTCGTCGAACGGACATGGATGATGAACTTGATGAGTAATTAAGTGGCGGACCTAATGTGTCCTACCCGTCTGTAGGAACAATCTATATTTGTAGTCCTGTTTACTGCAATTTAACTCAACCATTAGCTTGACTTAAACAAGGAATGTCAATTCGGGGGTTGGTCAGGGGTTGTTTAACTGCTTATGAATCTTGGATTTATGTTTCTTCTTGCTAACCTTACTGCTTCAAATATGAGCTATATTCAGTACAGGGTGCTCTCAGGTCGTTTGTACGACTTGTGTCATGATTTAGCTGTGACTTTGTTATCTTATCCCATTAATTATTTTGCCTTACTAGGAGCACTTCCTATTGATTTGCATTACATGATGGTTGTACGGCAGAAATGTAATTAATTATATGTAATAATAAGTGGTTCCCTTAGTTACTTCTTTATTTGGATCTGTACTATCTTTCATTTTTGTTTACTGCCGGTGCACGCAGCATAGGTTGTTGTTGAGTTACTCTGCCTAGTTTGGTACAGGTTACACAGGAATGATCTGGTTTTCACACCTTTGATTTATTTTCATCATCGTACCTTGTTATTTATTTATTTATTTTTGCTTTGGTTATTTGGGAGTATGGATCTGAAGTTAATGTCAATTTTGCAGGGCTTGAAGCATGTGCTATCGAGGAGACATTAAATATGCTTGTTAATAATGAACAATGTCTTATATTTAGAAATTTCTGGTATGGCTTCTTATTTATTTTGTCTTTCGTTTTCTCATGTAGGTAATTGCATCACTTATTGGCGAAGAAAGCTACTACACCTGGTGATGCTGACGAGTTTACCTGGCTGTCCTAAATATGTCATGTAGAAATGATTGCACATCAGAGAAACATGTTAGGTCAGTCAAGCTTTCGAATTCAAGTTCAAATTTACCTGTGCTAGCTACGTGCACAATATGATACAACTTCGACAATACGGTGATTCATCGATCCTTTATGTTTGCCTTATTGGTGGGGAAAACAGAGCAATTTCTGCTCAGCCATCAACAAAAGTTGCTCGAATATTCAGTTGCCTTTGAGCTCACACTATGTTCATCTGATCTTATGCTGGTGGTTGGTGCCCTCCTTTTTCTGTGGCAGGTCCAAATAAGTTGTGTTTGAGTTGTCCTGCCCATGGCCTATTTGGTTCGTTAATATTTTCCATGGAAGGCAAATCCTTTTGAGCCGGCATGTCTGAAAGTCACTGGGCTAAGCAAGCAATTAGGACCAAATTTGGCTGATAAGGTAGAAAGTGCATTGAAAGTTGTAACTAGGATATTCCGTATTACTATATTAGTTCAGTTAATTTAGTTATACGTAGTGTTAAATTCAAACCCTTCTTATTCTAGAGGATTTTCGAATCTCTTAATATGGTGAAAGCCCCCTTCTGTTGTAAATTTTTTAGTGATGCCAAGATATTTTGATTACTTTGGCATCATCCGTTTGTGTACATTATAATTGACTCAGTTTTATGAGTAGTAATTTCCTCTTAATTTTCCATCCATCCATTGGATAATTAATTAGTCAAAATGCTTGTGTTTCCTGTTGCTTGTTCTTTACTTTGATTTCATATTATGGTATCCACACAACACAAAGCTGTATTTAAATGATGATGCAGCATTTACTCTTTAGCAAATGCTATTGTGCGGTGATACCTACGCCACGCTCATGTTTTAGGTTACGTTAACCTCACTGATTCTGCCTCTCTGCAACTTCTCCTCGTACATGTTTAAAAGGATTGGAGAGGGAGAGAGATGAGCATTTAGCTTCCATTGTGTAATGTGTACTACTAATAAATCCGTCGTGTGCCATGCAATTGCAAAAGAAAGGAATCGCTTCTTAAAGAGGCAGGAGGCAGGAGGCAGGCCATCCAAGATAAAAGAAGAAATGCTAAACCCAAAAATGTCATCTCAAGATAAAAGAAGAAATGCTAAACCCAAAAATGTCATCTTGCGGCTGAGAATTTCATCACAGCAACGTAACCCCTTGGATTTGTATTGTCACGCACGGCACACAATCCCTTTCCCTCACAGATTCTTCAAAATACAACAAATATGCTTAGATTGGTCGTTTCCTGTTATTCTCAACAAATTGCATAAATATATCCATTCCACCTGAAAAAGGAAAGGCTAAAAAAGCCAAACCTATCACCTACACAATGACACCTCAAACTTTCCCTTGTTTCCTTTTCATCCTCTTTCCCCTTTTCTTCTCTTTATCCTGCTCATGCACATTCACTATAACAAACAACTGCCCGGATACCATCTGGCCAGGTACTCTAGCGGGTTCGGGCAGGCCTCAACTCCCGACAACTGGATTCCGGTTGGACTCTGGGCAAAGTGCGAGAATTCCTTCTACTCCCGGATGGTCAGGACGTATATGGGCAAGAACAGGTTGCACATTTGATGAGTTGGGAGCGGGCACGTGTCAAACAGGCGACTGTGGAGGAAGACTGGAATGTAATGGCAACGGTGCCACTCCACCTGCCTCACTCTTTGAGATAACCCTTGGCAATGGCAATGACAAAGATTTTTACGATGTCAGCATTGTAGACGGCTACAATCTACCCCTTATCGCTTCTCCACGTGGCGTGTATGGTGCCTGCAATGCTACTGGCTGTGCTTCAGATATCAACATAGGTAAGGCTTCGAATCTGATCATGCTCCAACATACATACACAAGTCTTCGATTTGCAGGACACATTTTGTTATATGCTGAACCAAGTTGGTCACCAGATGCTTCAAATTTTTAAAATTGAAACGAAACAAACTGTTGCAGGTTGCCCAAAAGAGCTTCAGGTGGTGGGAGGTGTAAACGAAGGAAGTGTGGTTGGGTGCAAGAGTGCCTGCGAGGCATTTGGTTTGGACCAATACTGCTGCAGTGGACTGTTTGCTAACCCAACAACATGCCAACCTTCCTTTTATTCAACCATTTTCAAGCGGGCTTGTCCAAGAGCATACAGTTATGCTTTTGATGATGGCACAAGCACTTTTACATGCAAAGCCTTTGAATATGCCATTGTTTTCTGCCCTAAAGGCAACGGGTACACTTTTCATCCCATCATCACTCAAACAAATTCAACTCTAATTTTTATATGAAGCCACCATAAAACCCTTTTCTGCCCTAACGGCAATGAAATATATTTTTGATACAGGACGAGACAACCAGATGATTCGTTAGCTCCTCCAACATATCAAGTGCCTGGCAGTGAGAAGAAGGTTGTGCAGCAGCTGGTTTCTTCTTCAAACATGCTCTTACCGATTCCGTCACTAATCCTTCTTCTCATCTTCTTCTACATACTCTCTTGAACGTATGAAATTAAGTACATGGGAACAGAAGGGTTGAAGAAACAAAGAATTTGAATTTTTATTTCGAAGAGGAATTAAGAATGCATTAGATAATTCATTCAGGCACGCCAAAGTGCATTGAAATGTTGGGGATCAATTGACTTTTGAAATATGAAAGGAATCCGAAGCCTTTAGTATGCGAAAGGAGTTACAAAACAAGGGTCGACGACATGGTTCTAAGCATGACGTTTTATGATTCATGAAGATATAACCATAAAGATCCTGGCTCAGTTAATTGTAGGCAATCCATATTGTATGTAACCACGAATCTGTGTAGGTTAAAATTTCAAAATATTGGCCACCAATGGCCATCATTATACAATAATCTGTCACTAAATCATCCTCAATCAACTCTACTTTCGTCAATATGAGAACTAATATCTAGTTACTGATTTATGATTTGTTGCAGTAACAACAAATGATAAACACAATTGTACGTCTCATTTTTTGCTCTTGGCTTTCTTGGAAACTTGAGTTTTCTTTCTTGCTTTCTTCGTTGGCTGTGGCTTCTCTCCAGCAGTTTTACCCCTCTTCCTTACAACAGTCTTTAGACAAAAAACGTGAAATCATTGAAGATTAATTTACGCCAACAAAAATTGTAAAGGAAATTTAAGGTTCATAAACGTACCAATGCTTTCTCAGCTTTCCCCTTGGTTTTCCCCTTAGTTTGTTCTTCACCATCTTCCTCGTTTTGATTAGTTTGATGCGGAATGGCTTTAGGAAGTTTGTCAGTTTCATCTTCTGAATCAAATGAGAAACCATCTAGGGTTCCTACACAATCAAAATGACGAGTTGTTTTTAAGAAACATACAAAAATAAAAATAAAGAAACTGCCATCACAACAAAATCCCTTTGGAAAATTCTCTAACCTTCAACCATTGTTTCAGCTTCATAAACATTTGATTGTGGTTTCAGCTGAATAAAGTCATTCATGATAGCTTCAATCTGCTCAAAGAATATAAAATCCAAAGTTTAGTTAACATTTCTTTTTTCTTCATAAAATCCTGCATTTTTTCTGCTAATCTAACTAAATGATTAACTAACCTTTGCCTCTGATTGACCGAAGCTAACCTGGACAAGAAAAAATTTGTGTCATGTCAAATCCTTATTAATTAAAATGTAATTTCATTAGTAATAGAGGAGAAGATATCTGATTCCTACAAAGTGCTAATTACATAATTAAGGCCATAATCCCCGATGTTAAAATTGTAAATGGAGACATATAACTTACAACACAAAATGTCCTGGAAGGAACTATTGTTGTTTTGTATACGGTACCTGTAATGTTAAACAAAAGAAAGCAAACCAATCAGATGGAGGCAGCATAAAGGAAACACGCAGCACAACAAGTTGTACTGGCAAAGCTAAACAACCAGCACATTTGTCTACATGATAAAGAGATATGAACAAGACATGCCTTTCAAATCAAGGTACATTTCCCGATTTGCTGATTTAGAATCTGAAATTATTACCCGTCCTACAGCACCCATATCACCGCTCAAATCTATTGAATTTCCTTCACACTCAACAAGTGCCTGCACAAAAAGCAAATCATTTGTTTAATCACAGGTTTCCCCCCCTTTTTTTCAAGGGACAAGAACTGGTCAGTTAAAACACCAAGCTATTGAACAATATCTTTTCAACTTAATTTTTTTCTTCTGTTAAGAACAAGATCTTGATAACTATAGATACAAGCTACAACCAAGCAATTTGTTGTTGTACCTTTGAACGTTGGACTTTTTCAGAGAGCACCAAGGGCAACTTTGAGGATACCTGCAAAGTACATATAACCAAAGCAACTCATTATGGAAAAGATTATATAGGCAATCATCATTGCTTCTATAGATTACTCTTACATGAGGCTCAACAGGCTTGTCGGATGCTTCTTCGTCTGCAACTTCCACATCACCACAATTTCCTGAACCAAATTTCTCTCTTAAAAAAGTCTCTAAACATCATGATCAGGGAAACCAAAATTTTCAACCAAAGCTTCTGTGTTACCTTCTTCCTTGGGTTTGTCTAGTTTCTTCTTTTTCAGGGATATTTGATCTTCTACGTTTTTCCCTTGTTTCGGAGAGTTGCTTTTTAATCTCTTTTTTGATGGAGACTCTGAAACAGATTTCGTAAGAGTTTTATCTAAACTCTCATCTTCATCAGGAATTTTAGAAAATTTAGGTGGAGACAGTACGTGGCAATCAGATTGATCCTCCCCTGAAGGAACACCATTCAGTGAAGACTCGGAATCTGACGATAATGACACCGTTGAATGAGTTGATGGTACCTGAAAACAAAGAAAACCTTGCACTTAGCATCCAAAATAAATAAATAAAGTTGAAGGAAAACACAAGGCTTCAAAGTAATTTTAACCATTGAAATGCATCAAGACCTAACCATCAGATCAGACCATGGAATATATAGCCCAGCAAAAGATAAATGAAATTATTCTCCTTCAAAGTACCTGGAAAGAGCGCAGCCAATCTGGAGACTCCTCCCTTGAGGTGCTCATTCCTGCTGGCTGCTCGAAAGTAATATATTACTTAATTTGATTGCAAGACCGAGTCTGGGTTGCCCAAATACGTCCTTCCTCGTCTTACCCCTTCTCGCATGACAAATTTTAATGCATTTCAAATGATTATCATACAGAAGAAAGAATCAGCAGCTATGCTCTTAAGATGTTTGTAAAAATGCCAAACCCACAAATCAGAGAGAGACTTAGAGCAGAAACTAGAATTGCAGATCTGATATCGAACATTTCACACTCTCAAGCAAAATACAAGTTTCTGTCAAGTATAACGAAGAAGGTACCACAATATGAGAGGCCGACTGCGCAAGAACGAGTTGGACGGCTGCTAGCCTCCTACAACAAGTGCCTGACTATGAAATTAAACTGAGTGTGATTTGCGCCAAATATAACAATTAACCACCGTACAGCCAAAGAAAAGAAAAACGCGGGACTTACAAAACTAAATAAATAGTCTCTTTTCTTCGATCGGCTGATGTTTATTGCGAACCTACACTGTTCCGCTGCGGAATTGCGTGTGCCGCTGCCTGCTTCGGTCCTGCTTATGACACGCACAAAATTATTGGGCCTCAATCTGGGCTGCCGTTGCATGGCATAAGGCTCATATTCTGTTAATTTTGTGTGTTTTGGGCCTTGAGCCTTCATACCTATAACCAAAAACAAAACAATTATAAAAAAAAAAAAGGGAAAAATAAGAAATATTTGCGACAAAATTCATCTCTCAACTAGAGAAAATTGATGCATATATGGGCTTAGTCAAGTTTGTTAGAACGGATGTGCTCTCTATTTTGCACCGAGTTCGAATCCCCCTCTCCGTAGTTTATATTAGATTCAAGTATAATATCATTTAAATCAAATCAAAACAAAACAAAAAACTGAAGAAAAAGGACGATCATTCAAATATATATATAACTCCAATTTAGCTTATTCTAGGTACTTTATGACATAATTGTGGATTGATTTGCTTCCATAAAATGTCATGGGTAATATTTTAGATTTTTATTTTAATTAAAATTGCGAGTATAATATATTGTTGCTGAATTTGTAAATTATAAAAATATGTTTATCAAATAGGTCAAGAAATTAGGAGGTTGAATAAAATATAAAGAGGGAAGAAAAGAAAGAAACCTCGTTATCCATTAGATTCACACACCCTAGTAGTACGCGCTCCAAATAGTGCTAGAGAACAGAAGAGAAGAAGAGGAAGAAGCAAATTGAATTGGGAAGTGAAAAGAAATGCAACAAGGGAAACAGGGAGTTATGGTGATACCTCAGCAGAACCAAAACCCAATAGAGCAGTTGCAGGCTCGGTTCAAGGAGCTAGAGAGTGGGTTCAAGGGTTGGTTGGCCAAGCAGTCTTTGCCTGTGGAGGCAGCCGTCGTCACACTCACAAGCGGCGCACAGGGTGCTGCCATCGGTGCCTTCATGGGTACTCTCACCAACGACGTTTCTTCCTCTCTTCCCACCCCTCCTCCTCAGGCCAGCCTCAACCCTCAAGCCATGGCCTCTTTCAAGCAAGCTCAGGTCTCCTTCTCATATTATAGTTTTTTCTTTTTCGTCTGTATTACAAATTACCTATGATTGGATTGGATTGGATTTCTATAGGGAAAGTTTGGAGAAAAGTTGAATCTTTATCATAACCCCTTCAGCCCCATTTGGCATTTGGATTACATTATAATCCCAATATTTCATTCTTGTTTCTATCAATTTTCGGTAATCAAACACTAGCAAAGTTTATTTCACGGGAATAAATTGTTCTTTTGTTCTTTGACGTAGCTTACCATGATTACTTTCAGTGCTGGAAAATCTTGGCTGGGTTGAAACCTAGAATTCTTCAAATGTGTGGTTTTCAGATAGGATTGAAGTATACAATTAGTAAGCAAAAAATGATGCAATTAATCAGCTCGAAGTTTAGAACTTTTCCCTCCTCTTGTTGACTTTAAACTCCAATTTGATTACTTTTCACATTTTTTAGTTTTAATTTCTTGTGTTGTTTAAGCTTTGAAAAGTTCTTATGTTTTAAGGATTTGTCGAAGGCACAGTTTTTTCTTTTCATCATTTACGTTATTATGAACTCTAAAGTTTGTAGTTAAGGAAACCTATCCCATGCTTTAATTGTAACCTAATTAAACAGAAAACGTGTTCCCTCACTATGATCTCAGATTAATTTGAAACATGGGTAGTGTTTGAATTAGTTTTCGCGGTTACTTGGTGGAGCAGTTCTGTTGATATATGCAATGTTTACTTTGATTATAGGCCCTTGCTGGGGGTCCCTTGGTACAAGCTCGCAACTTTGCTGTTATGACTGGTGTCAATGCTGGCATATCCTGTGTCATGAAAAGATTGAGAGGCAAGGAGGATGTTCAATCTAGGTGAGCCTATTCTTTCCTCGGTATTGCTTATGATATCCCAATCGCAATCAATTAGTGTTATGGTTGAACTGAGTCTGGCTGTTAATTTTGTTTGCTTCAGTGAATCATTCTAGGTAGAAATTAGCACAATTTTTTCACGTTCGATCTTCTGAGATTCACCTAAAATTATAAGTTGTGAAACGATATTAGGTTAACCCATCTTTTGAAATTTATCCTATCACCTGTCATATTTAGACATCGCCTCGATGCCTTTATGTCTGTGTATAGGTCATTTGAGGAGTAAGAAACAGACTTTAGTGAATTTGTTCCTTTGGTCCACTTATGGAAAAGGGAAACTTATTGGCTCCCTGTGTTTCATAGAGATCATAGTTCTAAGGCAGAATTTCTGAGGTACTCCCTGAAACTGAAGATGCTTTTTTTTTTTTGGTACCAGAGCCATTTTGCTATTTGTTTCATTCTATGAGCGTTAGATTTGGATCTCTCCCTTTTCTTCCTGCTTTTATAAGTTCTCAGGGAAATCTTCCATCTATTTGTGTATGCCCCCCCTCCCCCCACATTTTTCTTTTACATAGAAAAGTGTCTTTCTGTATCTGTAGGCAGATCATATATCAAATTGTTCTTCATAATATCATACTTGCAATGCGCAAGTAGTATAGATTTCATTTATTTTTAATATTGATAGGCTTGTTTTTTTGGTTTTACCACAACCTTATTGTTATTCCCATGTACTGCAGCATGGTGGCTGCTTTTGGTTCGGGAGCCCTGTTTTCACTGGTGAGTGGCATGGGCGGCCCCAATCAAGCAGCAAATGCAGCCACTTCTGGACTTTTCTTCGCACTAGTTCAAGGTGGACTTTTCAAGGTGAGCCTCAACAAGATCTAATTTATCATTTTGATAGTAGGTAAAGTTGTTTTTCTAGTCCGTAGCTGTACATGATTGCACTGCAAGCTTTGAGGAGACATCAAAGCGAACAAGTGCTTTTTAAGACAAGGAAACAGCTGAAAATTTGGAACTAACATTTTTCAAAAATACCCAACCATAAATGAATCTTTATGGGGTCTCGTGCTAGTACTCTGAGTCACTGATTTGGTGTTGGTTACTTATCTGCGCTGAAAGCACTTTCACATGGTTGATGCAGTTGGGGCAAAAATTTTCTCAACCACCAACTGAAGATATTTATTACTCTAAAACAAGGAGCATGTTGAGTAACCTTGGCCTCCAGAATTATGAGAAGAATTTCAAGAAAGGGTTATTATCAGACAATACTTTGCCTCTGCTCAACGACAGGCAAGTAACAGGCTTTTCAAATTCTTTCACTCCCATACTCTCGTAAAGTCACTTTGTATATGTTTTGATGTCCTTCCATTCCATTTGTGATGCCATTTCAGTGCACTGAGAGACGTGAAAATACCTCCTGGACCAAGGCTTCTCATTCTTGATCACATTCAGAGGTCTTACACCTGCTCCATAAATAGTTATCTTGCCCCCCCTGAACTTCTGAGTTTATCTCACTTATGTTTAATTTTTGGTTTCAGGGACCCGGAGATAAAAGAGAGGCGAGGATTTAGTAGTTGAAGTGAACTGCCTATTGTCGATTCAGTCTGCTTGGCCTTCCTGAAGAACCCCTTCTTTCTCCAGTTAAAACCTCAGTAGACTCTTAAGGGAGATATGTTTTCAGTTGAGATAATGTCATTTTGCTGTCAACTGTGTTCTTAATATTCAACCGCTACAATTTGCTAGATAAAATAATGATGGCATGATTTTGGTATTTATGGAAATTCATTTATTTGCAATCGTGAAGATCTATAGGAACTCTCCTTCTTCAAGCATGCCAACATGATTGCACAAGTAACAATTCATAAAAGTAAAAACCAAAAAGAAAGAGACCAAGATTATGAAGATAAATCAAGAGTGGGGATTTGTTTGTTCCGAAAAGGCAACCCCGTGATCAATTGCCAGATTTGTATCGTATGCACGAGAACACCCGTAGTTGTGTATCTTGGATGCATGATGCGAGCGGACCTTACATTAGACATGGACTTTGGAATGGACAGATAGTAGCTTCACATGGCACCCATTCTTGTTTGTATTGTAATCTTGCAAATGTGATTGCAGTGTAGCTTCACCTTCACGTTGCCCTTGTCCTGTGCAGTGGCCTTCCTTGGCGAATAGTACGAAGTTGGAAATGCGGATAAATTCTTCTTTGATGTGAACGTCACCTCCCGCGTTGTGTTATAAATTGAATTGAATTGTATCCATATTATAATATGTATTAATGCTATATCATAAGTTCATAATAATTAATTAATTGTGTGGTTCATCCATATTATAACAACTTATTAACGCTATGTGATGGTGTCACCGTGCCATCTCCCGTGGTATATTTGCTACGCATTTGTCTTTATGCCATTGCCAGCCAGCCCTTGTCTTCGTCTTCTTCGCCTTTCATTTTCAGCAGTAATGTTAGTCGTCCTGTGATGGACCGTTTGATCTTGAGTCTTGACAATAATGAAGACCCTTTTGCTGTGAATTGTGAGAGCACGTCTCTACGGATTGCCTTTCTATTTGTCAAGCGCCTTGACGAAGGACCTATTCTATACCTTTTCTTTCTTCTTTTTGCTTTCAAGTTTTCATATTTGGGATAAAAGCAATAGATTTGATACTGCATTCTTTAGCTGCCATTTTCTTTCTCCAGTCACATTCACATCACTTTTTATTATTTTTTATTATATATATTTAAAGGTCAAATTAAACTCATCAGTTAGGCAAGAATTACGTAAGATTGTACTGTAGTGCTTAAAAAAGACTTAACTTTATATCCAAATCAGTGGCGGATCCAGGATTCAAAAGTCAGGTAGGCGAAATTTACCTTAAAAACTCGACGGTACGAGTGAATTGCTTTTCAGAGGAAATTATCAAAAACTTCAACGAAATTGTCCGGAATTGCACAATCAAAAGCTATTTGGCTGCTTATAAGTTGTGTTCCCTCTTTTTTTAAAGTTTGACTGGGCCATCCCATAACACAAGAGTGTGGGCTGGTAAAAATTGTTTCCCTTTTTTTTTTTTAAAGTTTGAATGGGCTATAACACATGTGGGTAGTTTTACATGGGCTGGGCAGGCAAAGGTTTACACTATCACATGTGATGGCTAGAAATAACCTTGTTTATATATAGGTTTTTTTTTAAGTGAAAAAAATTGGGGTAGGCAGCTGCCTACCCTGCCCTGGCTGTAGAACCGTCCAAATCAAGAGGAAGCATAGATAGAGAGATAGCTCGGAAAATGAAACAGATGAATTACAGTAATGCGGGCTACATAATCTGCCTAAAATCAATGACCATGACCATGACCACCACAAACACGCTAAGAAAACTTTGAAATCACAATATTTTTCAATTCAAACATGTTGCGTACAAGTAACAACCAACGAACCTGTTCCGGGGCGGAAGATAATTACTTGGAATAAAATAATTAATCATCAATTCCACTCAACAATATTTTGCATCAATTCCCTTAATACGAGTGGACCTTTCTGTCAAATTTTTCAGGTTAACGGGCCGAGAGTCCACTCCAACAACACCGATACTGTCCCCACTTTACCACCTGCACAATCCTCAGGTGTGGGGTTTTATCACAAAAGACCTCGGTATTAGTTGGAATGGGATAATTCTATTTAAAGTACTCTTTCTCCTTCACTCTCTCCGATGTGGGACACAATTGGTTTCAACACTTTCTTCCACGTATTCGCTCGGTGGAGAAAAAGTCACAACTTGTCCACAAAACAACTTTTCAACATTCACACCATGATTCCACTTCAATCTTCATTCAAATTAATTAATCACTAATCAGACACTATTTTGCTTATGCATTCTTTTGAGATCCACCTCCTCCAAGATTACAACTTTCGTGGCCGGACGGAAATTACAAACCCAAAAACAACAACAGACTTTCAAGGATCGGAGAGGAAGTGGAACAGAACAAAGATAACCTTGTTGCTCTGAGAAATTAATCAGATCAAAGTAACAAACTTTATATTTCTTCTTCTTCTTCTTCTGTATATGCACATCTATTTGTTTTATTTGCTTGAAAGAGAAGATGGATCAAAATCAAATGATTCACATCATCAAACTACTTTCTACACAACACACAATTACAACCAACAACTACAATGGACCAATCCCGACTCAAAATTACAACAACAACCAAATTGCAATTTTTTTTTGTTTGTTCAGCCAATAAAAAAAGGAAGAAAAAAAATCGAAGAAGACGAAACGGTTAGTAACTGAGCTTATTGTACGTTGTCATTTGGAAGCGAGTCCCAAAGGCTGCGCAACGGATGAAGCCTGGAGAAGGCGTTGGGCCTGAGAGAGCTGGTTCATGAGGGCCAGAATCCGAGCGTGATCTGTACGAGCCTGATCGACGGCCTCCGCTTCGAGCTCACCGAGCTGTGAGCAGAGCCGCTCCTCTGCCTCCTCGGCCACTCTGAGCCTCTCGCGGGCCTTCTGCAGCTCAGCCTTCATGCGCTCCTCTCTCTCCTGGCTCTTTCTCAGCTCTCTCTCCAGCTCCTCGTTCCTCTTTCTCAGCAGTTTCTCTTCTTCAACCTCCGGCACTTGCTTTGTTACCGCCATTTTTTGTTTCTTTCTTTGGAATCGGAAAGCTTACAACAACTAACACAAAATATACAAACAAACCTGAAACTGCTGTGTGTTGTTGCAGAGTATGTTTGGTGGTGGGGTTTATAAAGGCCAAAACTACTGTGTCCAGGTTCAATGTATGTGGCTTGCTCTTGAATTTGTGATTCTGCTTACGCCCTTGCGTCTGTCATTTAACTCGTTTGTTGATATTTGATAACTCTTTTCCCCTTATTGTTTTTTACTTGGCATCTTCCTTCATTTAACTCGGCATTACACAACTAATCATTTCCCGCCTCGTTTAATTAGAGAGAACATTTTTACTCCCCATTTTAACTCAAATCGTACATTTACTATATTTCTTAACTCTTAACACGTGTCCTATGATTGAACAAATACAAAACAAATAGTTAATTATGATTATACTCATATACACGTGTCAAGTATTGACAATAATATTAAGAATACAGATTAAATTAAAATGGTTTCCTTAATTGTATTTTTTTAAACTTTCATCATCGCTATTAATTACGGGATTGAGATGAGGCCGCTTTTCATTTCTACAAATAAATTGCTGATCTAATGCAGGCTGCGCGTTGTATTAAAAAATTCAAATATTCAGTTCGTTGATGTCAATGCAGGTGACCAAATTCTCGTTGTTTTCACACACACATCGCATTGTTATTGACCAATGACCCAATCAAGAAAAGTTTTGAGGTTGTTTGGGTTGGGCTTTAATTAACCTAGGAGAAAATTAAAGGCAAATCATTAAAATCAATAAAGCAAATGCCCGACAAGATGTGTGGTGGTAACTAACAAAACAAAACAAAACAATACTATGTGAAATGGATCCTTGTAGTGGGTAATTATTGGACAAAGGATCGTGGCCTATCGAGTCACTGAAGACGCACAAGTGGGTGGGCCCTCCTAATCTCCCAAAGGTTGGGTCACACATTATAAAGTACATTAAGAGTTCAAACTTCTTTTTTTTTATTTTTTAAAGTATAAGTGATAGTTTAAACTACATATTACATTACATAAGAGGGGAATTTTTCACAAACACAAACACACACACACTATGATGTCGTGAGGATTTGAATATGAGACCTCTTATTTGCAAGTTAAGTTCCTTTTTCACTGAACTAGACTCCGTTGACAAAACCAATTTCTTAAGCTTAAACAACTTTAGCAAATACAAACCATCTATATAAATTGTATGTGAACGTAAAATCATAAACAAACTATAGTACCTGTTTCAAACGATGACCATTTTCCTTTTCAATTATCTCAACTGCGTGGCCCTGGAGACTCTGTAGTATTATTATTAATCTTTTAATTGAGACATAAGTGGTATTTGGTTGAAAATGAACTGGTGGAATGGACAGTGTACACTGCTGAGGCATGGACTATGACTTGGTGGTGGTGAGCATGCATTGCATTATATCATATGATTATTATTATTAAATAAAATAATGGTGAATCAATCGTGAGCTTCACTTGATTGATGTCGGTAGGATTACGCTCCGCTTTAGAATGAGAATTCATCATTCCGGTGCAAATTTCTATTTATGGGATAATTATTGGAGGGTGGGGCCCCTTCCCCACTAAAATTACCATGCATTTGTCAACTCTCTCTTGCTTTTGGGAAAATCCATTGGCCCAAGTTCCGTCCTCCCAAGAAAACTTCATAGATGGTGGGCAACTACCAAATTTAAATATAATGGGCTTCAGTATGAAAAGACGATAATGGACTGGGCTCAGTTTTTAGATTTTATGTGATGGGCTTAGGGTTCTTGTACACTCTTTTTATTACCCATTCACATAAAAGAAAACCAAAAACAAAAAAGCCATTTATTTGCTAATGTCTTGTTTATTTTAGATTGCAAGAATTTTGTTTTTATTCTTCATAAAAATGTTAAAAATAAATGATAACTTGAAAGGAAAAAAAAACACATAATCAACTCAGGGATTTCCATTTATATTTCAATCTAATTATTTAAGTTTACCCCAAATTAAAATAAATAAAAAGATTTTAGTTTTAATAATAATAATAATAAATTGATCGTCCTTTTAAGTTTATCCCCTCCGGCCAGTCTATTGCAATGACATAACTTAAAGCAAGACAAATGATTGAGAGATTTTTTTATTCAACCCAATTTGAAATGTTTACTTCAACAAACTGAGGAAGGGAAGACACACTGCGTGGGCTCTTTGTGCTCTACGCAATCCTTGACGTTGCTGTCTCTTGCATTGTAGAAGAAGAACATCAATTACCTTCGCTCTTTTCTTTCAGTAAGTTTTTCATTTGATATGCATGTTTTTATTATTATATTATTCTACTACGTTTCCAATATCATCTTGGGTTTTCTTTTTCGAGATCTCTGATTTTTCATGTCATCTAATTGATACCTGGTATGATTGTTGCTAATTTATTGATGTTCTTGGATCATCCGAAGACCCATATGCTTGATCCGTTACTTTCCGGTGCTCATGGGTGATTGAATGCTTTATATGTTCAATTTTAGATTTTCGTTTATATGGGTCATTTGATTTTGCTCAATCTCTTTACACAGAGTAGCTGCCTGGTTGCTTCTTGCATCGTCATCAAGGTCAATTGTTGAATTTCTTACTTCTCTGGCACTTATGAGGTACGCATCTACGGTTCATAAAGCTTCCTTGAAGAGGGTATTTCATTTTCTCTGCTTATGTCTCTTCGTTTAATCAGAGAATACACTGGTACACATCAAACAGTTGTATAGTTCAATGCAAGTGCAAGACTTTACCAGAATTCAGGTTTTCGTGTTTAAGTGATTTGGGCAAGGAGTGGTTTTTGTGGTATCGATTGCTTCTGACTGAAATGCTGTATAAGGGGGACTTGGAGTCTAGTTAGAGACTTAGTTTTAAGAATTATGGATTTTCAGAATAATTTTCAGCTCGAATCAGGGAAATTGGAACAGATAGTTTCCCGGTTTCTGCTGAAGAGCTTGCATATTGTTTTGGACTCTAGGATCCCTTCTCTTCACCCACATGATCGCAGTGGTGACCTGTCATCCGTTCCTCAAGTGAGAAAGAGAGACAAGTGGTTCAACTTAATACTAGGGGACCGCCCTGCAGCTCTTGAAAATTTGAATTTTTGGCACAGAAATGTAATGGATCCAATGATAATTGACATAATACTTGTTCGTGGAGGGCCTAGTTCTTCTTCTGTTGACAATCTATATGTGAATTCTGTGGAGGGGACATCTGTTGAGACGATTATAGAGAGGTGGGTTGTCCAGTATGAAACTCCGCGGGTTGTGGCTCCCCAAACTGGTGACACTTCGGCCTCTTATAAGAAGACATACAAGAAGTCAATCATACTTTTACGTACTCTTTATTCATATATGAGGCTTCTTCCAGCTTATAGGATCTTTAGACAGCTAAGTACATCTAGTCAGACTTATAATTTTGATATTATTTACAAGGTGTCTTCACTTAGAGATCCATTCTCAAGGGCGGAGGAGGAACTAATGGAGGAGTACAGTTTTGCTCCTGTAGAGGCTCATCCTGGCCGCCTTTCTTTATCCGTGACTTACCGTTCAACACTATCTGATTTCAATCTTGAGCCTGCAGCACCAATGCCACCTAGGATAATTACAGATTATGTTGGTAGTCCTGCCACTGACCCCCTGAGGTCTTTCCCCTCATCAGAGAAGGGTGTTAGTGCAACTTCCTTTCCGCGAGGAGGAATACCACCGCCATATACTGTGCCACTTCAACGCCCACACACCTGGACAAGTGGCTTCTACAGGCCACCTCCTTTTAATCACAATAAACCCCTAGTCGGATCTCCACCTGCATATCGTGCACCTCCAATGTCACATGACGTTGGATCTCCTCCTATTGATACATTTGCTAACAGAGTTCAAAACTATAGACCTCTAGGTGGTCATCAGAGAAATACGAGTTATGATGAGTATCAGCTTTCACCTCCATTTTCGCCATCTCCATCCCCATCTCCCCCAACATACTTGTCCAGTGGAAATTTAAATCCTATGCAAACTCGAATTCGTTCAGGAACTGCCCCTGTTAGTATCCCTCTTCCAATGGGGAGCAGAAGCCCTAGATACTTGTCCCCCAATTTTTCTGATCCAAGTAGAAATTCTCTTCCTCCATTATCACCCAGAAGCATAAGGAATGACGCTTCCTCTCAAGAGTCTCCATCAGTAATCAGAGCATTTAGAAAATTAGAGGCTTCAAGGGCCGGTGAGATGCACCCTGGAACATCAAATCATATGGTTGGTCAGAAGGTAGTCCCTGTTTTCTGGTTTAGCAGCTTTTTCGCTCCACATTTATAGTCTTGAAGTTAACTGTTTGTTTCATTCTTTCTAGTAAGACCATTAATTATTGTTTCGTAGGTGATGAAAGACAGTAAAGATGATTCAGGGCGGTTCTCAGGATTGTTGTCTTCTAGTGGCTCACCACGTGTTGGATTTTCTAGAAGCTCCAGTAGATTATCTTTCCAGGATGATTTGGACGGTTTTGAGTTCTCATGTCCTTTCGACGTGGACGATGTTGATACATCAGATTCTCAAGTCAGGTACTTCAATTAATCTTTATGGTTAAAATCTATGTACGCAGTCATGGCCCATTTTTGGCCTAAGGAAATTTGTATTTGAGTAATGGTATTATTTATATTGAAGTTTTTTCCTTCACAATTGCTGTGGCTACTTTTCTGGATGCATCTTTTTTCTGTTTCTCACTCTTAACGGTTATTTGTTCCGGGCCTCTTGAATGGTGACTTTTATGACGGAGAAAAGAAGCAGCAAAAAACAGAACATGGTTGGATCTGTTTCGCAATACCTGAATCCCTGTGATACAAATAGAAAAAACAGTGCATTTTATTTGCATGATCATGATTACCCATCATGATCTATCATTTTCCTGGTTCAGCTCGTGTAGGGATTCACTTTGGCTGCAAGAAATGCCACCAAAATCTGATATTGAAATGACAGTTGCTTTCCTAGTGCTGGCTCAATTGGAGATAAGCAACTGTCAAATTTTCAAAAGACAGTTGACTGGGTATTCTACCGTTACTTGTGTGCATCGAGAACTTATGCATGCTTTTATATTACTTATTCAAAATATAAAACTAAGAATTCAAGTATATTGAAATGGATGAAACGGATAAGATGTTTGCTATTTACGATGGGTTATTTACTATTATTGACTTGAATTGATATGCCATGCATTTGTTTTCTAGCCTTATCTTATGCACTTGATCTGAGGTTACATTTAGTATGTTGCTTGTTGCAAATATGCGTAGCTTACTTGCTTAGTATCTTACTTATGTTTCTCTATTCGTGTTTTTGGTGCAGTCAAAATCTCGATGGCAGAAAAGCTTCTGAGTATACATCACAGTCATTGCCAATAGGCAGAAAATCACATGATGCTGCGGTTGGCGTTCTGGTTCAGATGCTGAGGACAGCTCCACCTCTGCGCCAAGATTCAAGTTGTTACTCATCCCAGTCTGTGAAACCTGAACACGAGGGAGGAGTTGCTACAGCTTCTGGTTTCTTTATGCCTCGGAAGACATCTGATGCGCTGGAGGAGCTCAGAAGTTATAAAGAAATGAAAGACCTTCTACTATCAAAGAGTGGAATGAGGGTGCTTGCTAAAGAAGAAGCATAATGATACTGCAGCTTTGGTCATTGGTGGGTTACTTGTATTTCTTGTGTTAGAGGGAAGCTTGAGCAGCTTGAGCTCCCCAGTTAAAAAGATTGCTGTGTGTATAACTGGAGCAACCATTGCCACGCTGTGAAAAGAACATGCATTTTCCTGTGAATGCCCTGAATGAAGGACTAACTGACTGTAAATATCATGACTGATAACTAGTTTACCATCATTGAAGTAGTTTACTGAATTTTATTGATCATTCATTACTCTATCTCTCTCTCTCTCTCTCTCTCTCTCTCTCAGAAAAACTTGGAATTTGCCACCTTGATAATGGAATAATCGCAGTTAATCACCTTTTATTTAAATAATAATTTTGAAAGCAACTAAATTTTAATCAACATATATTCAAATTTCAATCTCCTACAGAACCGAACTTGACTTGAAAAAGGAGATGGGGAAATGCTTAAACTAATAATTATTATTAATTTTTGAAAACAAAATAGAAATAATTATCCCAAAAAAAAAAAATCATATAACATTATGGGCCCAATTCCACTATATTTGTAACAGGCTGTAGCACACAGTCAGGCCCATTACAGCCCCGTCCCGAATCCGAAGTCCGATCCTTTTAGCAGAGTCGGGTTGGCTTGATCCGGGAAAGAAAGATGAACGAACGCCCACGCAATTCAAACTAGGAGAGCTTACAATTTTCTTTCATTTGTTCTTCTTCTTCTTCTTCCCGCTGTTTGGCTCAATTCGGAGAAAATTTATTTCATGGATCCGTCGTCTTGCCCATTCTGTCATTTGGAAGTTCCATCCTCAGAACTTGAGTGGTATTATAATACGCAACTCATACACACATAATAGCTGCATAAGTATTTGCAGCAAAGCAAAGAAATTTAATCCTTTTTTTTTTTTTTTAAATTTAAAATTTCTGGATTGTGGTTATGTATGTGATTTGTAAATAAAATGAATTGTTGCAGGCATGCCAACAGCCACTTTGAGGTCGAGGATGAAGATGAACAACTGGCAAGGGACTTGGAATTTGCCCAACAACTTGCTCTTGCCCCTTCTTCACCTCCATCATCATCATCCATGGTACTCTTTTACTTTCTCGTTTACTTTCTCTTCTTATGGCTTGCCCATTCAAATCATATATGAAAACAAAAGTTTCTTGGGTTTTTATAAGAAAGAAAGGATTTTTATTCGTTTTTCTCAGGGAAAAGAGAAACGTCTTTGTTAACAAATGGTTGGACAGCAACTTTGTTTTCTTCTTCTTCTTTAGTCTTCTTTTAAGTTGTAATCTGAAGCTCAGTCTACTAACTTCTTAGTTTCGTACTGGATACGCCCGCAGAATAGTCAAGCAATCAGTGACTTGCCGATTTCTAGATGTGATGCACAAATAAGCATGGAGGAAAAAGTCTCTTCCTTGATTGCTTTACAGACTAGGACCACTTTCTACGAAATTGAACATGGCTTGATGGCCTTGCTGAGAGACTGTTTGGAGTCAGAACGTGGAAATACAACCAGTATTGTGTCCGGTTATATTGATCATTTTCAGAGCATTCCATCTGAGGACGTTGGGTGGGGTTGTGGGTGGCGTAACATCCAAATGCTTAGCTCCCACTTGCTTATGCAAAGGCACAAAGCTCGGGAGGTTTTATTTGGTGGTTCGGGATTTGTTCCTGATATTCCATCTCTCCAAAGGTGGCTTGAGATTGCTTGGGAAAAGGGATTTGATGAACTTGGCTCTGATCATTTTGCTAATAATATTTATGGCTCAAAAAAATGGATTGGAACTACTGAATGTGCTGCCCTTTTCCGCTCTTTTGGGCTTCGAGCAAGAATAGTAGATTTTGGTCCCAAGGAACTTGAATCATTTTATCCTTTGCTTCCTGGTTCAAGTCTTGGGAAAGAAGTAAAGAGAATACATAATGGCGGAAAGAGGAAAGCAATTCAGGTTTGTGGCCCGATGGATAGGTATCTATTGGCAAGGAATCATGATGTTTCCCAAGCAAGTTCCAGTGGGGATGAAAAGTCTGGATGTTCTAGTATTCCTCTTGGTGGTGACTCGTTGGGTAGCATAAGTAATGAGAATTTGGGAAATAAGTTTACAAGGAATAGCAAGGGTCATCAGGTTCTCATTGATTGGATCTGGAACTACTTTTCTGATAAAAAATTTACCAAATCTGGCAATTGTCAGGTTGTTGTCAGTGACAAAACGTAAGTTTCTATCTCAGTTAGTAGCTATAGTACCAAGAGTGCACGCTTTATTTTTATATTTTGTTCTAATTTGTAGAGAGGTTCTTTGAGCAGACCCTTGTACTTCCAACACGATGGACATTCGAGAACGGTTGTTGGGATTCAAGTGAAACATCAACATAATGGGATACAGCAGCACAATCTCTTAATTTTGGACCCTGGCCATGTAATGTTCCATCAATTCGTAGGAATCTGTGGTGCATCTTAGGTTTAACATATGTATTTTGCAATTTATTATTGAATACAATTGTCTTTTCACTCTTGTGACACATAATTACAGAGAACAGCAGATCTGGAAAGATCACTGAAACAAAAGGTCGGATGGCAGAAGTTCATCAAAAGAGGGGTTCACACACTGAAAAAGCCACAGTACCAGGTAATGATTATTTAAATATAACATTTGCCTTTGGTTTGACTACTCATTAGGACTGGACTTGATGCAATAATTTTATCTCAGTTGTGTTATATTGATACTGGAATAGCAAATCGGGAGGAAGTGGAGTTGCTCAAGACAATAGAAAGTGTTTTTCTGGAGTTCTAGAGGAACCTGTTGAACATTTGCGATCTGGATTCCAGTCCTTCTGAATATATATGAACAGAGGAACAAGTGGCTATATTAGTGTTCACTTATATGCAGTGAATGTTGACAGGACAGGGAAAGATAAGATATGTTTGAAATTAACGCAGCCTAAAAGAGAATGATTTGATATTCACTGTTTTAAGGCTTTCCCCCACCCTTAGAAAGACAATTTGATTTCTGACGAAATTCCGGCTGCAGTTTCTGTGTTGACCTCTTCTCTACAAATGATCCTGACTAATGATGGATTGATTTTGAGGAAATGTGTTACTGTTAGTGGATTTCATATGTGCAAGATGGCCAGAGAGTCAGGGATTCAGATCTTCTTACTCTTCAGATGCTAGGATGCTGTGATGTTTTACAAGCTCTTCATCTAGGCTATCTTGGTTATCATTATGATCAATTTGAGTTGCCTTTTAGCTGCCTGGAAGATTTGGCAGGAGACACAGCACGAAAAGTGACTCCCTTATGCTTGCTTTCTGGGGTGTACTTACTTTTGAGGGTGAGGAATAAAGCCTGCTGGAGCTCAAGGGAACACTCTTATATTCTTAGTTGATGTTGATGGAGCGAATGACTACCTGTTTGTATAATATTTTCTTAAGTTTTGTTGATTCCATCCGGGAGTGTATTCTCTTGTATACATTAGTCCATATGGCATCATCCGTTGAACTTGAGAACAAATTTATTCATTTATCAATAAATAGGAATATATGTTGCAACTTCTGTGCTTCTCTATTCAACAATTCATTGTGTCATTAACCTCGTCCCACCCCTTTTTAATACGAAATTGCTACAACAATATTACTTTAAGCTCCTAAAGAAAAATATATAGTCCTAAGGATTTTTAAAGTGCCCTGCTTCTCTATCCAAGGCAGCTGTATGTAATATGTTACTCTCCTGCCAAGCTCTGTAGCTGATATAATCTTGAATAAACTCCCTCAGATGCTGTTATCAGGGCTGAGTGGGAACCTATCTCCACAATCTCGCCTTTATCCATGACGATAATGGTATCTGAGTTTATTATTGTCGAAAGCCTATGTGCGACTGTAATTTGTGTGGTTTTTGACAGTATGCCCCCATTGTTTCTCAAATTTATCGCAGCCAGTGCACTCACAACAGATTTCTCAGATTCAGCATCAAGGGCACTTGTTGCTTCGTCCAGGAGCAAAATTGCAGGCCTCTTTAGCAGTGTTCTAGCTATGGCTATTCTTTGCTTTTGTCCTCCTGAAAGTTGACAACCCTTCTCCCCAACAACTGTTTCATATCCGTCAGGCAAATTACTTATGAATTCATCTATGTTTGCTTCCCTAGACACCTCCACAATCTCAGTCTCAGAAGCCCCGTCGGTCCCGTAGCAAATATTGGCTTTGATTGAGGAGCTAAAAAGAAGAGGCTCTTGTTGAACTAACCCTATTTGTCTTCTCAACCATCTCAAGTTATATTCCCTTATCTCCTTTCTGTCAATGAGTATTCTTCCTTCCATAGGATCATAAAATCTGAGCAGAAGGGCCAATACAGAAGATTTCCCAGCTCCACTTGGGCCAACAAAGGCCACCTTTCTTCCAGCTTCAATTTGCAAACTGAAGTTGTTCAGGACCGTTACTTCTGGTCTTAAAGGGTAATTGAACTTGATATTTTGAAATTCGATGCTCCCTTTGATTCTGTCAAGATTTGAATCTTCTGGTATAGCTGGTTCTATTTCAGTTTTGCGGTCAAGGGTCTGGAATGCGGGAGTTAGTACACTGATGGCAGAGATGACAGTGGGAATCAGTGTCCATAATTCTGTGATTGAAGGTACTGTAAGAGAAAAAATCTGGTATGATCTTATGCTATTTTTAAAGCTTGCTTGATGTCTATCAACCAACACTGTTGTATACCACAACGCAACAGCATGTGCGATGTTCCATAAGCAAAGGGAAACACCCTGAATTATGCCGTACTTAATACTTTCTCTCCTGCACTTTCTCCTGGGGTTTTCCAGAGATATTTTGGCTTTTCTGAGTATATGATCTTCATGACAGAAGGATGCGACGGTTCTTATGTTGGTTGCAGACTCAGAAGCAAGAGTAACAAGTTCAGAATGTGCAGCAGCTGCGTCACCTGAAAATCCTTTAGCAGACTTGGCTTGAATCAGACCACCAATGAAGTGGCAAGGCATTACAGCCCAAGCTACCAAGCCCATTCTCCAGTTAACAACCATGCTCACAATTGTTGCAATCAGTATGGAGGAGATGCACTGAACAATAACAGACATACGATCAGCAATGATGGTTTTAACCATTGAGGTGTCATTGATGATCCGTGAAGTAAGCGGACCAATGTTGTTCTCAGGTTTCTCAAACCATGCGATTTCATTGCGTAGTACACCTGCAAGATTATAATGGATGGGTGTTAATTTGTAGTTTTGTATT